CACAACTTCAGTTTGGGGTCGGGGGGGACCCCAGCTAAAATACATGATTAAAGGCAATAGATTTTCATGTGTATTTAGTTTCTGTCTGGTGTTGAGGCTACAGCTGCCCTTGTCCTCTCTCTTTCGATCTGTGTTTCACACAGAAACAAACACACATACACACACACACACACACACACACACACACACACACACACACACAAGCTTTACATCAGTTTCTTGAACAGCTGCATCTGAGAATTTGCTTTTACTCAGATACACACACACACACACACACACACGTTTCTTGATTTCTCTTGGGAAAGTGGAAGATGCCCCGCAAAATATAACTGTCCCTGAGAAGTGTATTAGTAATTCTTAGAAAGTCTTGTGAATCATTTCTCTTTTTCTCCTCCTACTTATATTCCCTCTGATGTAAAAAATGACTCCAAACATAACTGGCATTTGAAGACCCAGTTTGTTGCTTTAAAAAAAAGAGTGTGAAAAATGCACTTTTTTCAGGGAACTAAAGAGTAAATATCTTTGCTATAGAATACTATAACAATATTTGGAAGAAAAATTGTTAATTTTGAACTTTTTTCCAAGACGACACTGGGGTCTCTACAAGGTAGTAAAGTCAATGTCAACAGAACACAAGGGTTAAACTCTTTCATATGCTCGTTTTATATAACCGCGGCTATTTTTGACATCTAGTAAGAACATCTTCATATAAGTGTGTGCATGATCAGTTTTTTTTTTCCCATTGTGGGGATTAAATGCCCCCATGATAGTAGGAAAAGTGAACTATAAGGTAAATCTCCATCAGAAAAAACTTTTTACACAACACACAGCTTTTATTAGAAACTAAAAGACCTCAAAGATTTCCGATAGGTTACTGAGGTTTAGATGTTAGTGCAGGGTTAGGTATTTACAGTGATTAACAGGATATTGTAATACACTGGAGAACCTACAAGTTTTTGTAATACACTGGAGAACCTACAGGTTTTTTATTAAGTTTTTTTATTAAGTTGAATTTATTTATGTTTTTGTTTTGTTTTGTTTTGCACTTTAAATAACCTTAAAATAACCAAATTATGTAATTTTTATGACTTTGGATCATGGGTGATCATAAAATTATGATTAGAGTCAGGGTTCGGTTCAGAATTAAAGAAACAAAATCAACTAGGTGTAGTATATTAAGACAAATACAGTACTGTGCAAAAGTCAGAGTTCCCCCTTCATTTATTTAATATTCAGCCAAAACGGCCCTAAAGTACAAGTTTTTCATTTTCCAGTGTCACAATCAAATCATAAAATATATATTTACTGGAAAATACCACAGATGTCTCAACAACTATAATAATAAAAATATTAAATTTTATATCAAATTAGGGGTCCCATCTCTATGTCTTTGAATAATTTTAAACGTCAGTTTTGGAAGCTTCTACTTTGTCACTTCCTTTCACTTTCCCCTTCCTTATCTTCTCTAATCTTGAAATGTGACTGCTGCTGCGGTGCACAGCAAATAGAGAGTTGCATAGGGTGATGCACAACTTGCAAGCCAACTATAAATAACCTGAATGTCTTCAAATAAGTGTGTATAATCAGTTTTATCCTCAACGTGGGGACTAAATGTTCCCATGATGTTAGGAAAACAGTGTAATTTGAACAAAGCACAAATCACAAAGTTACATAATTCATGTAAAACCATTTACAAGCTCAAGTAACTATGAAGCAAGTTTGTCAAATGTTAGCTAAAGCAATTTTTGTTAGTTAGCTTGCTTCCTATCCAGTCAGTGTTTGAATTCAGCCAGGCATGTACATCTCAAATATGGATGGAACTGAAATATAGATGGAAATCGTACATGATACAATGACATTTAGCCAAAGGGGACTAAAATAGGGGTGGCAATTTTACAAGAGGGGTGATTTTTGCCTTCTTATTTGGACTGGTTGATGGCATCTCCATGCATCCTCCTCAAACTGCCCTGCTGAAAAATACAGCCCAGAACTGCATGCATTCCACGCAGGTCCAACCTAGTCACTTACTATGGTCATGCTGGTTGATGACCAGCATGCCAGCATCATCACTGTACAAAAAAGGCAAAAAGTTTCTTCATTTTTAAAGCAAGTTAATTTTTAATTTTGGAGCATTTTTCATGCACATTGTCTTGTTTGTTTTTTGGACAGCAATGATATGCTGGTTTTGCTGGTGGCCAGCAATGTTTGTCTATGGAGGCTTTTCTAGCAGGCTGAGCTCTGTCTCTGGTTAACTATTGTAGCAATAGTCAATAAATCCCCTCAGCTTGTCAATGATGCAATTGTTCAGCAATGTAGTGCTGTAACTGATTGGTATCCATGCTTACAGTATAATCAGACCTGTAGATCACATGAACAAAACTCACATCACAGAACTAAGGCTAAGATACAATCCCCAGAATCTGACATAAGACAACTGTTACTGCATAGCCTTTAGCAGGCCTGATGTTGAGTGTGGACTAAAATGGACTAAAGAGTTGGGTGGGCACTCTAGTTGAAAACAAACAATGCATCCTTATTAGAGAAATTCAGTGGCCGGTATACTGACCGTGACCGTGGCTTGATAATGAGTATACATAGCAGTCTCATCCTTTAGCTGAAAGATAATTAGCTAATTTAAAGTGTAGAACCTTTGTGGAAGTGAGCAAATTTGGTGGCTGGTCATTAAAGTGTTTAGTGGCTGGGAGAAAGAAGAGCAGATGTGGATGATCCTGCGCAAACACTTCGCCATGGAAACACAACAGGGCTGTGTTATGTCAGTCTCTCGCTCTCTCTCTGTTCAATTCAATTAAATTTGGTGTCAAATGCAATATTGTCTGTGAATGGGAATGTTTTACAGTTTAACATCTTCACAAAACACTATGATGACAGCAACAGTAGCAGCAGCAATTCTCTCTCTCTCTCTCTCTCTCTCTCTCTCTCACACACACACACACACACACACACACACACACACATACCAGCAACAGTAAACCTCAGTTTAACCTGTGAAGGATGAGAGACGTTCTGATGTGTGAAATTCTTTTGACTGTGACACTCTGTTGATATGTTTTAAAAAGCTCTGTTCAAAGCAGCCGTGCCCAAACTTTTTGTCTTCGGGGGGCAAAACTGCAATGTCTATTTTTCACCCTTTCTATTGGACCATTCATCGTGAAACTTTAACTCAATTACTGGGTTAGTCGGTGGGATTAAGATTCTAACTAGATTCTAACTTTCTGGTGAACTTTGTCCTGTTTTAAAGGCTTTCACTTTCTCACGAATGCTCTAATCTCTCACTGTTTCAGTACAGATAAGAATTAAGACCTTGATTAAATTCACCACATTCTAAGGCAGAAAAATCCCTTTTCTTCAGTCTTCTGTTAATGAAACGCTGAAGGGTGTTTTTGCTACGCAGACGCGAAATGACTGCGCAGGAGAAGTGCAAACGTTTGAAGTGTCTGGTTTTGCTGGGTTGTGTACGTGACTTTTCAAACTTCTAAACCACTTTAGTAACGTGGAAAGGAAAGGTGAAGTCCATCGTGTGTCACGTCTGCGTTTTGCAAATGTTTGGCAAAATGCTCTGCCTCTGTGTACGAGTGGCCTTGTACTTAAGGTTAATTCAGGGGCACTTTAAGACTATATATTTTATGATTTATTTGTATGTCAGCTGATGCTGTCGCGACAAGCAAAAGAAGTTTTTGCTAATGAAACCGAGTGGCGTGGTGTGAGCTTGGTGCTCGTGCTCGTCACCGTGGTGTGCAACGTGCTGGTGTGCGGCGCGCTCATCATGATGCACCGGCGCTGGGCACGGACGACAGAATTCAAGAATAAAGTTATTGTGGACACGGAAATACAGTCACTGCATTTTAGTCAATTCATTTGCAGTTTCAGCAGGGATTTACAGATACACAGAGGAGCTGCGGTTTCTATGGAAGCCCCTTTCCACCAGACAGTGCATTTTTTTCCTCCTCTGTTTCTGGCAGCAGTATGTCAAAATGACTTACTTATTGACCGAGTAACTCAGAATGACTTGGTATCTTGTATGTGAAAAATAATGACTTACTTTATCAAGATAACTTATTTTGACATACTATCTCAAGAACCTCAAGTCGTTATTTGAGATATTTAGTCAGTATTTGTTAATGATGTAAAAAAATACTGTTAAAATACTAAAATAACAGTTCCAAAATATAAATACATACATATGTACATATATACATATAGCTGTTATTTGCGATTGTGATTACTTTCAGTATTTTTAACACACCTATTCAAAATTGCTATTTAAAAATGACATTCAGAACATGTACATATTTTATCATACACAAGTAATAATACAATATTGTGATAATATCGTACACTGTGATAAAAGGTTAGGTAAGTACAGTGATATTCGATTATCTCAGCGGCACTTTTTACCCGAACCCACCCTGCACCCTTAAAAATGTGCTTCTTCAAGGGTTCTTTTGTAAAGGCAATGGTTATTTATTGAAACATGATAAAGAACCATTGGAATGTATAAATGGTTCTTTCTTATGCTGGAAAACCTGCTGTATATGGTTCCTAAAAGAATCTTTTGAAAATGGCTCTATAGGGCCAAAATGGTTTATTGTTGTTAAGTTACATAACCACAGTGGCACTATATAGAACCCTAAGAGTGTGGAACCTTATGGGAACCAGATATCTCCAGGATTAAGGAAATTGTGAATATTTAAGGGAAACAGTTTTGTTTGTTACTGTTTTCCTTGGGTGTCTGGTTATGGATGGGTGTAGCAGTAGCTTAGCTGCAGTAATACATGATGCGATGGAAACCCTACAAAGATAGGAATACAAACGTTGTGTGTGCGCGCGAGCATTTAGGTGTGTAGAGAGCTGTTACTTGTTGTCAGCTGTAATGTAGCCTGTAGGGATGGGGGGGGGGTTGAGTGGGGTGGGGTGGGGTGAGATAGGGGGCGTGGGAGTTGCGCATTATAAGCGCGAGGTATGAAGGTGTGAGTGAGTGAGTGAGAGAGTGTGTGAGTGAGCGAGGCGCGCGCACTCCACCAAGCTTGTGCTTTGGGGGGCGGAGTTGAAGGGAAAAGTCTCTCGAGCGCAAACTTCAGCTTCAGTCTCAGTGAGTGAGGAAGCACCGCGGAGAGCGCGTGAAATACCCCAGCAATGACCAGCCTGACTGCCCACACGAGGAGATATGGATGGACGCGCGAGATATGGATACTCTGAATGAGAGACAGTGCGCGCGAGAGGAAAAGCGACGGGGACGCGCTTAAAGTCACTTTTTTGGCTTCTTTTCTTTTTGCTGGACATTCTGAGAATCAACAAGGCTGATTTCCTTGTACGGACTTAAGCAGGACTTACTATGCCGCGCGCTTACGACCAGTCAAAGTCGGCACTGACGGACTTCTGTCGCGTCCGCGTAAAATGCGACAGCGATTAAAACGGACATCGTGTCAGTTTTCGGAGCTTTCTAAGCGAAGATAATGAACAGCACAGCCTTCGCGCCTCGGGACCCCACCATCCCGGCCATCATGTTCATATTCGGCGTGGTGGGCAACGTGATCGCGGTGGTGGTCCTGTGCAAGACGCGCAAGGAGCAGAAGGAGACCACCTTCTACACGCTGGTGTGCGGCTTGGCCGTCACGGACCTCCTGGGCACGCTACTGGCCAGCCCTGTGACCATAACCACGTATGTATACGGCAGTTGGCCCGGCGGAGAGCCGCTGTGCCAGTACTCGGGCTTCGTGCTGCTCTTCTTCTCGCTGGCCGGCCTCAGCTTCATCTGCACCATGTCCGTGGAGCGCTACCTGGCCATCAACCACGCCTACCTGTACAGCCGCTACGTGGACCAGCGGCTCGCGGCGCTCGCCATCGCCGCCATCTACGTGACGAACGTGCTGTTCTGCGCGCTGCCCAGCATGGGCCTGGGCCGCATCGTGCTCCAGTTCCCGCAGAGCTGGTGCTTCATCGACTGGCGCACGAACGACAGTGCGCACGCCACCTTCTCCTACATGTACGCGGGCGTGAGCTCGGCGCTCGTGCTCGTCACCGTGGTGTGCAATGTGCTGGTGTGCGGCGCGCTCATCATGATGCACCGGCGCTTCGTGCGCCGCACCTCGCTGGGCACGGACTGCGCGCGAGTGCAGGCGGAGTTGCGGCGCAGGCGCAGTTTCGCGCGCATGGCGGGCGCAGAGATCCAGATGGTCATCCTGCTCATCGCGACGTCGGCCGTCGTGCTCATCTGCTCCATCCCGCTGGTGGTGAGTCCGGGCTTTGTTTAGAGCTAAATGTCCAGGTGGTCTCAATAAGCTGGGTCAGGTGTGTTTGGGCAGATGCAGCTATGTAGGGCAGCGGGGGTCCACCAACGTACACTCTGAAATAGAAGGGTTCTTCAAGGGTCCCTTAGTAAAAGGAATGGTTTCATGGTCAATTGGTTCCCCACATTGATGTTGTATGTGGTTCTCTACAGCACCAAAAAGGGTTCTGTTACTGTTACCATGTCAAGCTTGTAACAATTTCAGACCCCTTTTGGGTGCTTTATAGAACCATTTTCAAAAAAGGTTCTATACATGTACAACACATTCTTCATCAATCCGAAGAACTATTTCACCATGCAAAGAACCATTTAAGCATGCAAATAGTTCTAAATAAAACCATTCTCTTTACTAGAGAACCATCTCTTTTAAGAGTGTACTTAATTCAAATGTGCACACTGGTTGCCAAAAGCAAGTAGACGGATGAGGCAGAATTGCACTGTACGTCCTAAAGTATCCAGAACGCCCTTCTTAGTGAATTCTGCTACTTTAAGATGCCCTCTTTGCTGACACAGGTGTTCAATCTCCATAAAAAGCCCTACCAACAGAAGAAGTAGCAATGGAACTGCATTCTCTGGAGTGATTAAGCTCCATCCAGTACCTTTGGGATGTGTTGGAGTGGCAGAATTAATCCCCCAACATCAGTACTTGATGTCACTAATGCTCTTCTGGCTGCAATCAATCCTCATTGCAAAGTTCCAACATATAGCATAAAGCCTTCCCAGAAGAGCAGAGGCTGTTACTGCAGCAAAGAAGGGATTTAAGAAGAAACAGGTGTCTGCAAACATTTGGACAAGTGTAGTTTATTCCTGAATTAAGTCAATTTAATGTACTTTTTTTTTTTTTGCTTTTCAACATGGGGATCCACTACTCTACATAGTTTTGACTTCTGCCTGCCCCAACACACCTTATACTCATCTCAAGAACGTGACAAGTTGGTACAGATGCATCTGAGCAGGGAAAACGTATAAGCATGCAGGGCAGCAGGTTCCCAGCACTGGAGTTGAGAGATGTTTTAAAGTGTAATCTAGTGTGAAATGGTAGATATACAGAGCTACTTTTCTGTGAAGCTTCTGGGCTAGAAGTAACCCTGCCCTGCATACTTCAGGGTTAATCGGCATAAGCCCTGAGTGGGTGTGTCAGAGGAGGGAAAACATTAAAATGTATCAGCAAAAGGAGCAGGGCTGAAAAGAACTACTGTAGGGTACGCCTCAAGCTTTTTTTTCCTGATTGGTTGACGAGAAGTATATATATGGAAGATACCTGCATATCAGCCAAAGTCTTATTGGCATTTACAGTGAGTGGGTCAGCAAGCATTGCTCAAGTAGGGTGCAATGATAACAAGAGCAGCACGTTTTGAAACATGGATTAGGCCAGCAGGTAACGGCATGCGTTTAGACCAGTTATATAACATTTTAGCTGAAAAAGGATTAAAGAGGCTGTAAAACTAGGCAAGTATGAGTAATCATCGCTTCTAGCTGTTTGTTTACTAGAAAAGACTGAGTACAACATGCCCAAGCAACATAGATGAATACGGAATAAGAACGAAGAACAGTTGAAATGGCTGTAACAGTACTCTCGGCGGCCACTAGCCTTTATCAACAATCAGTTTTTGACCACTGGATATTTATGAGTGGTGGTCCACTCTGAACTTAGCAGTGACATTGACCTCAGCAGCTGGGCCTGACACATTTCCTACTGGCACTGCACATACTACCATACCAGTACGGAGTCACAGTCACTGCTGTGCTGAGAATGACCTATCACTCAAATAATAACAGGTCAACAGCTGTGCTGTGGTCAAAAACTGACCGATGACGAATGGCATAGAGGGTGGGGGGCGCACTGTATGCAAAGGAAAGAGTGAGTGGAAGCACAGAGTAGGAGTTTCTCAAAACGTTTTCAAAAAGAAGTGAAATTTGAATAAGTTTCAGGTTTAACAGCTGTCAGCTCAAAGGTAAGTCTCTGAGGGTGAGCAGACGTTTCCATTTAAGCGTAAAGCACTGAATCATTCTGTGTTCAGAGACGATACAGTGAGCCTCTGGAAAAGGCTGCCACCTGTGGGCGAAAAGATAGGAATAATGGCTCTGCAAGTTCTAAACTAAAGAACTATATATATATATATATATATATATATATATATATATATATATATATATATAAGCTAACTAATCCTCTACAGAGCAGAAAATAAAATGCATAAATAAACATAATTTTCACCTAGAAAATCAACAAAACATAATATAAGCAGGGGCACCCAAAGTAGTTTACACTGTATACAGAACTGTGCCAACTCAAAGAACCACTTTTTTGCATGGTGAGATGGTTGTTTGCTATGATGGATCTGTTGCACATGTTTTTTAAAGAACATATGATTCTATATAGCACTAAAAAGTGTTTCGCTGTGGTTACAAGTCATAGTAATGCTACATAGAACCCTTTTAGCTAAGAGTTTAGGAGAAGAGTGTTTAGGTGATGAGTAAAAACAAGTAAACCAAGAAAAAACCCATAAAGTGCCCCTTGTCACATAGTGCTACTATTTTGCTTGTGATTTATGATTCATTAAGCTCTGATTAATATAGCATGGTGTACTGTACTGATTTACCATTTGTGAAGACAATGTTGTATATGTCATAAACATTTCATGTTATTATTGTCAAGAGAGTTTGACCTACTTTCTCACAGAACTGTACGCACATTACTAGATAAGCACACGGTCATCAAGATATAGAACGACTGGCCTGTCTGGCTGTGATGAAACTGAGTAATGAAACTGATTTCATTTCATTAGTCACCTGTAGAAACCTCATGCCACAAATTTTAGCCAACTGAAAATATTTGATGTTTTGAAGTTCTATTGCTGAAGACTCTACTATTATTGGAAGTTTACTGAGGATTATTGAAGAACATCTGTATGTACTACTGAATCAAGCTGTTCAACATCCTGAAAAATTATATGTTGGTGAAAAACAGGACATGTGTAGGTGGCTTATAATGTCAGAATAAAAATGTCAGTCTACAGAAATGACATGTTCATCACAGAGGAAAAAGAAGGCGGTTAATGCTAATGTTTATGTTTACTCACGTGTTGACTCACTTATTAAAATATGATGTGTTAATAAGAAGATTGGCAAGGATAAAGGTAAAGAACAGCATAAGAGGATATGCAAAATAAAGCAATGTTACTTTTATAAAGTGGTGACAAAAGTACAACACACCAATGTTTAAATGTACAATTTCCTTTATTATTAATAGTCATTGCAGTAACATTTTCAAACAGTGTAGTTAGTTAATAGTACTCTGTTGTTGACAAAATAGTCAACAACACTTTATTTATTCCATAATCAGCACAATAGTTTATAATAACGTGCACTATTACAGAGTAGTAACAGAGTGCCTAGCACTGTGCCTCATCCAAAAAGTCTAGATCGAAACACTCTTTATAACTTTAACCACTTGACCAGGGGTGCCCAAACTTTTGCATACGACTTTAATAGCTTGGTGCATAATTCAGTTGATGTAAACAGGCACATATGTCAATAGTCACAACTTAAAATGAGGATTAGCCAATCTGACAGTAGAACTGTAAATATCCGGTTTATTATCTATATCCTGTCCAGATACATCAAAAATACTTAATTCTTGTCTGTCCTTCTCTGCTAGGTGCGGGTTTTTGTGAACCAGCTGTACCGCCACCCTGAGAAACAGGTGATAGAGGGCAACCCGGACCTCCAGGCCATTCGCATAGCCTCGGTCAACGCCATCCTGGACCCATGGATCTACATCCTGTTTAGAAAGACGGCCCTCCTGAAGCTTCTCGAGAAGGTCAAGTGCCTTTTCTGTCGGATGGGTGGGCGGGGCCATGGGCCGGGCCGCAGGGACTTCCTTTGCGGGGGTGGGACGAACATGTCCTCCGTGATTTCACGCGATTCCCCCACACTGGTGCCACGAGAGTTACGAGAAGTGGTCGCCACCTCACAGACGTACCTGTACACTTCTGACTCAGTGGAAGGGCACAGGGGCAGCATTGGCTTACCTAGGACTTACCCCTGTCCAGAGCAGGCTCTCCTACAGGACCCGCAGGAGTCAGATCCTGCGAATGGACAAAGCTCTGCTGAGAGAGTGAAAGGGCAAGATGCGGACATACAAACGCAAGGAACACACTCGATAGTGCGCTCCCAGTCAGGCAGATCACCACATGGGTGCAAGCAGCAGACGCTTCAAGTTACCTTTACGGACGAGACGTTGAACTTGCAAGAGAGATGCATATGAGCCTCGGTTGAGTAGCATTGTAGATGTGAATGCTGACGAATCAGCAGAAGGGAAACCGCTTAAGAGGAACCTCGCAAGAACTTGCGAAATGTCCACAAGGACATGAGAGATGGAGTGTTCTCAACAAGAGAGACGCAAACACTAAAATTAGACGCATGAGCTGACACAGGATGGGGCGTGTAAGGTTAGCTTGGTGAAGAGAAAAGAGAAGAGAGATAGGGACAAAGCTAAATATCTGTGACAAAGGCAGGGAACACAAAAACTGTGAGCGGAGGCAGGTTGGAGAGAAAGAGAGAGGGTCATTTCTGAAAACAAGCCTAGTTTTTCTGTATTCTCTCCAAACTTAATGATATGCTAAAACCACAATACGATGAATGTGCACATGGCTGGAGGGAGAGTCAGAGTCAGAAAGACAAAAAGACAGAAAGAGAGAGGGAACAAATCTCTGATAAATGACCCTGGAGTCATGAATACATGAGAAAAATTCTTGCCAATTTCAAATCTTAAAATGGGTGGTTTAAGGCCGTTTTAGCTACGTGAGAAAGCTCTTGTGTGACCCAGGGGATGGTCAGGCCGGTGGAAAGGTTTCTGTGGTATTCTGCAGAGCAGCTGATTAATCATGCGCAGCTTTACTGGCAGCTCGTGTAAGAACGCACTTCTTTCCTTGTTTATTTAGTGTTCACACCAGTTCACACCTGATGAAACGAGATAAGGGTTCAAGACGACTCCATTTGCCACCCTAGCTTGGTTGAGAAACACTAAATTGCTGCGCCTTCTCCCAAGAGATGTCCGATTATCTGATGTGTTGCTTAACAAAAGGAAATTGCCTTCCCAACAATGAGAACTACACTGAATTTCTCAGGGAACCTAGGCCAGGAATGGAAAACAGCACACCATGATGTTTGTCTGATACTTAGTTTACATAGTAGCAATGTAAGCGTGGGTTTTATTTTCTTTTCCCTCCTTCTCAAACTCAGAACTCTTGACTGAATGTGAGATAACCATTGGCTTAGAACATGTTCACCATTCCCAACCATGTAATCTGTGAAAATATTGTTATTAGTGGAATCTGAAAGGTGTTACTAGCGAGTAATAGAGGTGTTACAGTAACACTAAGTATTACTGCACCGATATGGGAAGTCTGGGTTGATGCAGATATCCAGTATTTGTCATGTACGTATCTGCTGATGCTGATAACATTCCTAAAATGTAGATATTGGGGATAAATTAGCTGGATTAGCGTTGCAGATAAATGTTACATTTATTTTGATAGAGTTACAAGTAAGATTAAAAAGCGATGTTTGGCATTTGTCATGTACATATTTGCTGATGCTGATATGTAAACATTTATAAAATGTGGAAATTGTGACTAAATATATCTGGATTTGGATTTTGGATAAATGTAATCATATATATATGTTACCCTACCAAAATGTACTGACGTACTGAGTTTGTCTGATGTCTGTATTTTTTAGTTTTAAGCAAATATTGCCAGATATCAGTATGATTCTCAGTAGGATCCCTACCTACTAAAAACTAGCTAACAAGCTAACAACACAATTTTCCATTCATGGCCTGTTTTCCATCCAAGGTTCCTCAAACATCAATACACAAAGAACCTAATTAAATGACCTATTAAATCCTGTTAGGTCACTTGCACCACAATGTTTGCCAAAACAAGCAGCTACTTAACAACATGACGAACTGAATATTTGTGTAACAGGGTTGAACAAAGACTAGTTAATCTGTATGACTCTTAATATAGGAACACAGCACACATTATAAGAGCATGTCATAAACGGGCATCATTTCCTAAACTCATGTACGGCTCCTCTTGAGAATGAAATGTGTTTTACTTAAGTGAGATGCTGAAAGATAAGAAAGTCAGGAGGTGACATTTGTTGCACTTTTTAATTTGCTGAACCACTGAACGTTAGCTTCTTAATGTCAAAGGTTACTTTCTGATGCCGAGGTCAGACATTTGGCATTTGATGGGAACCTTTGCTATAGTGTGCAGTTGTGATGTGAAAATGTGAATGATATCCCATTGTAATTTAATTTATTATACAGGGGTTTTGCGTTGCTTCTTCTCTGCGAGAAGGTCTAAGTAGTTCTATCCATGTCGGAATGTTACATGGCAACTTTTGTTTTTCTGTCATACGGCATAATTTGAACGAAGATGTATTGTAATGGTTGTAATATATATGTGTGTGTGTGTGTTATTGAATATGAATATGAACATTGCATTTTCAGCCCTTTGAAATGGGGATTCCGTTTTGTTCAGATGAACAAAGTCGCTCAGTGTGAGAGATCTAACTTGGTTTCTCTATAACGCACCATTCTACATCAGATCACTCTGAATGACTGTTTACTCTCAGTGACTGAATTATATAGAAATTATTAAAAATTGGTGGAATTCCCCTTTAATTGTGCTGAATGGATCAGTTACAACTAGTGGTAGAACAGTAGAAAAATCAGTGCAGAAGTGAACTGACACAGGTTTAAATGAATATGCTAATTAGTTACAGAGAAAGAGGTTACTGATGCAGTAGCAACACATACTTGTTTCCATTTGTTTCCTTTGTTCCCAACTAGCAAGTCTTAGCAAAGCTGGATTAAAATTACAGAGGGCATTAAAAACGATTCCCAGTCCATCTGCATTAATGATCATGAGGGAATTCCATTCAGCGTAACAAAGAGCCATGGTTACTGCAACAATACTGAACTGAAAACAGACCTTTCTTTCTGTTGTTCATTCATTGAAGGCCTTTGTTTCTTTGATGTTACGCAACATTTACTACAATGTTCCGATGTAAATAAACAGATGGTCCTACTGCAAGTTGTTTTTCAGAGAAAATAAAGAAGAAACGTATGTGGGGTGTTGTTTTTTTTTCCTTCAGCATGCGAAAATACAGACTTTGTTAAACTTAAAATACAATAGAAATAAGTCTCAGAGACTCTGCCTGCCATACTGCAGCAATATGAGCACAAGTCACTTACACTTAGCCCATATATACTCGTGGGCGAAAATGACATGCTTTGAATCATGCAGAAATAAATGAAAATAAATAAACACATCCTCTACAGAGAACACACTTCTGACCATTTTAATGCACAATTACTGTTTATTTGATGAATTTAACATAATAAATATAACATGTTGAATTTAACACTTTTCTGCAAGATGCCATTTGTTCCCTGTGGAGGATCTATTATATTATTTTCACTTAGAAAATCAATAGAACATGTCATTTGCCCAGGGGGTATTTCACAAAGAGGAATTTCTCAGTTTAGCCAGATAATCCCATAGTCAAGCCTGTCCAATAGGAAAACAGCTGAGGAATATTCCTATAGGACAGGGGTGTCCAATCTAGTCTGCAGAGGGCCAGTGTGGCTGCAGGTTTTCACTCCAACAAAGCAGGAGATCACCTGATGAAATGTTTGAAGACTGAAACCAGCTGATTAAACAAGTAGAATGAGGTGTGCTCCAGCTTGTTTGGAGTGAAAACCTGCAGCCACACCAGTCCTTTGTGGATAAGATTGGACTCCCCTGCTATAAGACAATCCTCAAATTTGATTTTAAGTAATCTGGCTAACTGGGAAACACTGCTTTGGGAATTTTTTTAGTGTTTTATATGATTGTGCACTTTCATGTCATTATAAAAAAGTTATAGTTTAGCTAATCAGTCCTTCATTAAATCTAATATTTACATGTTTGATGTAAAATAGTGTACTGTGCAGAAATTCAGACACATTTCTTTACAGTGGTGGTGATAGGAACCAGGGGTTGCATTATCTGCAACGCAAATATAGCTATTTTATTTACTATTCAAAACAACCAGTGAACACGTATCTTCCGAGTTTTTACATGTAATGTTTTTGGTAAAATATTGTCAAATCTGAAAAAGTTTGTTTTCTGTGGGCACTAACCTCCTTGCAACACCCTGTATTTGAAAGGATTTAAAAACAAATAAATGTTCAAAACATTATCTGAAAAGTATCTGCAAAACAAAGTTTCAGGAATCAGGCAGTGTATTCCCAACCAGTTCTTGTATCAACTTTCTGTTTGGGAGCTTTTAGAGACATTAAACTCTTCAGTCGTCTGGCTTCTATCAGCACCACTGATCGATTTTGAGTCAAAATTTCTCTATAACAGCACATTTCACATCATACCAGTCTGAATGAGTTTGTTTACAAGTTAACCATTTAATTTTGCAGAGGTTGGTGGAAAAATTGGTGGAAATTCCCTTTAAATCAGTTGTGCTGGTGATGGATTTTAACAAATCCATGCAATGTTTTTTAAAACGTTTTAAAAGGTTTTACTGAATTTATGTTCATTGACATGTATTCTAATGTTATATAGTGATTTAACAGGTGAAAAACAAACTAACTGCTGAGATAGGTAGTTTAGCTACCTAAGATTTTTTTGCACAGTACTATATTTAATTTATGTGGAAATTAAATGAAGTGATTGAAACTGATGCTTGACATCACTTGACACTAATCCACAACAGAAATCAAGATAAGCTCAAATCACGTCATTGATTTACCTCTATGCCTAGGTTCTACTTACTGGATATTGAGTAAAGAGACCCACATGCAGCTAAACACATAAAGCGTCTTTGATGTAAACAATAAATGATGCCAGTGACTCACTATTGCAACATCCCACCAGAGCAGACGATTCTCATGTGTGAGCAGAGTGCAGGGACAGAACTGGAGACATGTGCCCACAGTAGACATTCCTTAATTCTATTAGATCATGAGGGAAAATCTATTACTCTCCTGTACAGCATGAATCATTTGTTTGGTACAATTGCAATGACGCAGGCAGTCATGACACCTCTGGATGTAAATTAAGAGTGCGGCAACAAATGCAGTCCTCCACACTGCGATCCGTAAGTTGTCGTGAGTGCAGCGCTGTCACGATGCATCAGCACGTCACTCTAAACCACCATTGGCAAAGAATGTAGCTGCCTCATTCAGTGTGATTAAGGAAAAATTAGTGCAGATTAGCAGGAGATAGAGGGTTGCTGGTGGCTTCCAGCAGGCCCTGCAGGTGCTGAATTAAGGCAATTACAGATACAAGGCCTCTAGCTGTGTTCCACAATGGAGTGCAGCTGGACAGTGTTACTGTAGACGAATGTGGTGTTGAAGAATGGTGTCCAAAATGTATGAACATTTGAGGATAAGCTGCTGGATAACAATGAGAATTTGGGATGTGTCCCAACAGTTAAAGGTGGAAATCATGAAGGGTTTCTGGCATGAACGAGCAAGTTTATGAATAAAATAATGAATGCCTTCCTGCCCGATTGAGAAAGCACAGCTTCATCAGTTTAAGAAGCAAAGCAGAACAAACGTATGCACCTTCGTAGAGGTCATGCATTCATATTGATTACATGGAGAGTAATAAATATTCATGCAAAAAC